ATTCCACTACTGAAAAAGAATTACTAGCGGTAGTCTTTGCGCTTGATAAGTTTCGATCCTATTTGATTGACTCTTCCATTACTATTTTCACAGATCATGCAGCTCTTAAGCACCTTCTTGCAAAGAAGGATGCTAAGGCAAGACTAATACGTTGGATCTTGCTTTTGCAGGAATTTGACATTATTATCAAAGATAAGAAGGGAGTAGAAAATGTTGTAGTAGACCATCTGTCAAGGCTGACCTTTAAAGATAACTTAAACACATTGCCAATTAGAGATGGATTTCTTGATGAAAATTTATTTACTATCTCTTTTCTACCATGGTTTGCTAATATTGTGAATTACTTGGTTGCAGGTGAAATCCCAAATGAGTGGAGTGCACAGAATAGGATAAAATTCTTGGCTGAGGTACGTAACTTTTATTGGGATGACCCCTGTTTATTTAAGTATTGCCCCAACCAAATATTGAGACGATGTGTTCCTAATGAGGAGATACCCAGTATATTAGATTTTTGCCATTCCCAAGCTTGTGGAGGCCATTTTTCTATGAAAAAGACTGTCGCAAAAATTTTACAGTGCGGTTTTATTGGCCCACCTTGTTTAAAGACACTAATGCCTATTGTAGATCCTGTGAGAGGTGTAAAAAACTAGGTGCTATTTCCTGCCATAATATGATGCCTTTAAATCCCATTTTGGTGGTTGAAGTGTTTGATTGTTGGGGCATTGACTTTATGGGACCCTTTCCACCCTCTTTTAGCTATTTATACATCATTGTGGTTGTAGACTACGTGTCTAAGTGAGTAGAGGTGGTTGCTTGTAGAGCCAATGACAATAAAATGGTTGTTAAATTCCTTAAAAAAATGTTTTGTCCCGATTTGGTACACCACGTGTTATCATTAGTGATAGAGGCATACACTTTTGCAACCATTCATTTGAGGCACTAATGAAAAAGTATGAAGTGATTGATAAAATTTTCACTTCTTATCACCCACAAACTAGTGGACAAGTAGAATTGGCTAGTAGGGAAATCAAACGAATTTTGGAAAAGACGGTGAACCCTAATCGTAAGTATTGGTCGTTGAGACAAAATGATGCACTTTGGGCTTACCATACAGCTTCTAAGACTTCCCTAGGCATGTCATCTCATATACTAATCTTTAGAAAGCCTTGCCATTTTCCTGTTGAACTTGAGCACAAAGCCTTTTGGGCTATTAAACACTTCAATTTTGATCTAGAAGAGGAAGGTAGACATAGGAAATTTCAATTGAGTGAGTTAGAGGATTTAAGAAATGATGCCTATGAAAGTTCTAGAATCTACGAGTCAAAAATGAAAGCATTTCACGATAGAAACATTGTGAGAAAAACTTTTAAACATTGAAGACCCTAATGATGGTAAGGTATTCAAAGTGAATCGACAGAGACTCAAAATACTCTATGGGCAACAAGTACCTGCATTGGAAGAAATTCTTCTTGCAGACCCAGTTCACCACCCATGACACACTTCAGGTACATTTTTCACATTGTGTTTCTGTATATTAGTTTCAGATTTCTTTTTTTATGTGTTTTGCATTTTTTTTAGTTTATTTTCATTTTTTACATCACCCTTTCGATTAGAGACTTTCAGGCTTCCTATACTTTAGCTCATGTGATTCGCTTCTACACTCAGGTGACATCTTTCCTTCCCTTTATTTGGCAGACATGTTTTTGCATTGAGGACAATGCAATGTTTAGTTGGGGGGAGAGTTTAACTTAAATTTTGTTGTGAATTGCATGTTTTTTCATGAAATTTCGATTTAAGTCCCTAATGCGCTACATGTTCTTGAATGACAATATATGTCACTAGGAATTAATATTGTTTATAAAAGTTTGGATATTGAGATATTTGTTGAATCCTTTTGCGCACACAAGCCTTGTGGTAAGATGGAAGTGTAACACATGTAGCTAGAGGAGTCTCTCGTTGAAGTTTTCTTATGTGAGAATTGTTGAGGATTGAGAGCCACAATATAATAAAAATGTAATAAGTGTTCATTGATTGTGTGAATTGTAAACTTCTTTTGAGAATAACATTACACGGTATGTGGTATGATGGTTGATTATACTTGGGAAATGATAACAATCAATTTAGGATTGAATTTGAGCCTTCAGACTAGTTCTTTTCCATAATTATAATCCCCTAGTAGCCACTTTGAGCCAAGACACATATGTAACTGTTTCTTTTCATGCGCTTATGTTATCCATACCTTCTTACATTGGATTAAAGTCTATAAGTAGTCATTTTCCTACCTTTATACTTCTAAGTGTATAGTAGATGTTAAATGTCCATTTGAGAAGAAAAGTAACGAGGAAAGTGATAAGAGAGGATAAGTGCTCGGGTGAGGTGAAAAAAAAAGCACAAAAGGAAAGGGAATTTCCAAAAAAAAAAGGAAATGAAAAAAAGGGATGGATTGTTGTTGGGAATTGAAAGGTTGAGGAATATGTTGATGTAAAGGATTGATATGTTAAAATACTTGTTGAGATGCCTAACTAGATACTTGGAAGTCCTTAAATTCTTTTCGCCCTACCTTTCATATAACCCGACTTAACCCTTTTAACACCCTTTACATTGGCTGTTTTGATCTCAAGTACGTTTGTGGTAAGAAGTTGATGGATTCTCATTTCAAAGTATACTTATCATGTGATCAATGTTTACTTGTTGCTTGTTCATAAATATTTAAGCTTCCATGTTCTGAGTGTGCATCTTTCCCAGCTCCTTAGAGAAAAACCCCGCACTAAACACTTTAATACCCGTGAGTTATGGGGTAGGACCTTTAGCTAGAGACACACTCGATGTTGCATGTGTTAAGGTTGGCGGTAAGATGACTATGGCTAGACACACACTCACACATTTAGCAAATGTTTTTGATATCTTAATAATCATAACATTGTTAATTTCTTGTGGTGTTGAGTTTGAAAAGATAATGAACTGCAGTTGAATTAGAACTCAACAACTTCACTTGTAATTTGGATCAGTCACACATTTTTTTTTGTTTTGCATTGAATTGCTATGGACTAGCAATAAGCAAGTTGGGGGTGTGATAAGAGTGTAAAATACAATATTTTCCCTTCTTAATTATTGCATTCCCGTGATTATATTATGCCAAAATGCACTTATTACTCTTATGTTTTTGTTTAGGTTGCATTTTGGTGAAAACGTTGAAATTTGGAAGAAACAAATGAAAAAGGACCAAAGCGAGAAGAAGTGAAAGTTCAGGGATCAACTTGTAAATAATTCATAGATGAGACGGGCGATGGAATGATGATTTGAGAAATTTAAGAGTCCATTGGTGCAATTAGAAGTCAAAAGAAGTTAAATATGCCTATAATATTTTCACAAATCAAATTCCAACAGGATATAAGGATTTTCAGATTTTGAGCCGAAAATTGAGATTAACATTTGACCTAGTAAACGTCCGAATTTGGAAAGAGCTATTTCTATTAAGATTGTAGTACTTTGAGTTAGCTTTTCCAATGAAACTTGAATCACCTCAATCGGAAGTCGGGAGAGGAAGTTATGACCAAAATACTGAAAGCAGTCTTACAGAAAATTCTGACCGAAAATTTACTTTCCTTGTTCGGTTCAACCTCTTGTGGAAAAGCTTTTTGCACACGATTTTAACCCCAAAAACGTCCCAGAACGCCTCCATTCATTCTGGATCGCTTTTCTCTCGTCCTTGACACAAGAAACTCCATGAAGAACTAAAATCTTTGGTGAAGCCACGAAGGAACTCATTGGACTTGGAGATTTCACGTCATAATTTCATGTAATTCGAACTTTCTTTACTTAATAATTTCTAGATTAGGATTTTCTTGTTATGAATTAGTATTGAAATTTGTTTAACTTTTAATAAATTTCTCATGGATTCAGTCATACTTTTTCCATTGTCAAATTAAACTATTTGTTGAGTTTCAATTTAAATTACTTATTGTTGAGCTTACTTTAACTTTTATCATAACCTTCATAGATCTAGCCATGCTCTTTCTATCAAATGATTGAAATAATTGTTGAATTTTAATCTTAATATCGCTTTATTGACGGATTGATTACTGCCTTATGCCTGACGTATATGGTCGATCTTTGATCTTGTTCTAATAAAAATGTGCGAATGTGTTATAGAAAATCTAGATTCTAGAAATATAATTGGAATAAAATTGGACTTCATTGTTAAATCTTTCAATTAGAGAGTTGGGAAGAAAACCTCTAATTGAGTAAAAATACATGAATTATTGATATTGATTGATCCAATCCAATGGGGGAACTCCGACGCTTCACTAATTTCGCATATTGATAATTAATTTTTATTCCAAGTGATAAATCATTCCCACATTTAATTACGAAAACCCTAGTTTGTTTGATCCTTTGAGAAATCTTCCATCTCTCTATGGATACGACACCCCAAAACTGTACTACAATCACCGCGTTATTCTTTGGGCGTAATCATGTCTTGACATCCATGTGCTCAAGCTACAAATCATTCTCTGCCATCATTCTAAGTAAAGTCTGAATTGAACTATAATGTACAACAAGTGAGAACCCATCTATGAAGTTAATACTAGGAATTTGACTGTAGCCTTTTGCTACCAATCATTGTATGGATTGAAACAACGTCTTAGACAGTGGTATAAAATGTTTGATGCAAATGTATTAAAGATAGGGTTCAAAACATGTAAATTTGATGCTTTTTTTTTT